CTTAGCTGGTCAGGTGGGTCTTAGCTGGTCAGGCTGGCCTTAGCTGATCTTAGCTGCTCAGGCTGGGAGACCAGCTAAAACCAGCTACTTCCAGCTTAAACCAGCCAACCAGCTTAGGCTGGTTTTAGCTGTTTTTTTTTCAGCAGTGTGAGACGTAACTTTGTCACCCCAGAGTCAAAGAATAAAAACAAGAAATTATGTTTTGCATATGTAAGACAAATTTATCTTTTTGTGTTTAAAACTAAACCATTAGATAACATATTATTAGTTATTTTAGCTATTTCTTATTTTCATTTAGTTTCACTTTAAGTACTAAAATAAAAACTTTATAGACATACGTTATAGCCAAAAACAGTTAATTTTTAATCTAATTTTAATATTTAATAAACATTTTATTCCAGTTAAAATGAAATCGCAAAATAAAACCTGATTCAAAATATGAATAGAAACCAACAGTACATGGCAGAGAGCGAAACATCAGTCACTTTTAAGAGCCCTATTTTCACAAACAAAAATTTCTTAAGAAAATACCTACTCTTATAGATTTCTTTTGTGAAGTACATTTAATCAAATCACTAAGAATAATGAATAAAAAAAAAGTACTTATTTTTTGAAGAAATATGATGAGATCTTTGATTGATGATTGATACCTGTTTTGTTGTGCTTTTTTTTTCTCCTCTTACTTTTTGGTTTATGTGGGAATGATACATTATGCAAAATTGATTGTACTTGTGTAATATGTACTTTTGCTGGAGATGTGCTGTGTTTGCACTATTGTTATGTTTATAAAAACTTAAATATTTATACATGCATATTTTGCAAAAAAAAAAAAAAAAACTTTTAAGAGCACTATAACATCAGTCACTTGTAAAACATCTGCTGTAATTATAGGTGCACATGTTGCTCGAGGTTGGCATGTCGCTGTAAAGAAGATCTGTAAAGTTGCAAATGTAACCCCTCTCCCCCGGGTCCGCTCCGCCACACCTCGTAATCTGATGGTATTTTGCCCCATCCATTTTTCCTTTTATCCTGACAAGTGCTCCAGTCGCTGCTGCAGAGAAACAACTCCATAACAGGACATTACCACCTCCATGCTTTACTGGAGGAATGCTGTTATTTGGATGGTGAGCTGTATTCATGGGCATCGGAAGCAAAAAAATTAAAATTAAAAAAATAAATGTGTTTGGGTCCTGCCCCAGAAAAGTTTACTGGAGTAGATGCCATTTCCTGCATTCTGGTGCCTTTCAATTAAACAATTGTTTTTGTAGCCTAAAAAAGTGACCACATACCTGGCAAGGTTTCCCAAAAATTAACACAGCAACAAAAGTCTTGTTGTTTTGAAACAATGTCAGATAGTTGGCGTTATAACAACATAGTGTAAGTGTAACTGTAATTTAATGCTGCAACAAAGACTACATGATGCCTTTAAAAGCAACAAGCAAACAAATGATGAACATTCACTTAAATAGCAGCTTGTTTAGTGACAGAAAGTGAGCACACAGCCAGACCCACCTGAGCAACAGCTAAAATGCTTTGTTTACCTTGCTGTGTAACGGGAGTGCAGCAGGAGCGAGTAGTGAAAACACGGAATGGAGCAGGGGCGCGGGAAGATGTTTTCGGTTGGGGGTGCTGTGTGTGTCCGTTGTGGGGGGGCTGGTTCACTTACGTCGGTGCTCGTGCTGGGGCTGGTGTTGTTTGGATGCCGATTTTGGAAAGGTTTTGCTTATCTCCTCGTATTAAAGTTAATCTTGTTCGCATTCTGTATAGTTCATGTCTGATACCACGCGCCAGCGTCACGTGTTCATGAGGATTAGGCTAATCATCCCATATAGAAAACATCACAAGTAAAATTAATCATGTTTATAAAGATAAACATGGGTTTATTATAGCCCACGTACAATTTACATTTCAGAGATCATTACAAATAAATTATTAAATGCTAAAACTGAATAAATTTAAATGAACAAACTTGGCGTTGCATTTGCAACCATGTGAAAACAGGGGGTGCTGCAGCCCCCTCAGCACCCCTACTTCCCGTGTCCCTGCCCTGGTGCCATTTTGGAGAATATTAATTTGTGTTCCGAAGATGAACAAAGGTCTAACGGGTTTGAAACGACACGAGGGTGAGTAATCAATGACAGAATTTTCATTTTTGGGTGAACTAACCCTTTAAACACACCTGCTGAATTGCATGTATAGTGAAATCACTGCACTGCAATATGAAAATAGTTTAGGTGCCTGAAAGCAACCTGTTTGAGACACGCAGCTCTCTCTCATGTCTGCATGACAGACAGGGAGGTGAATGAGTCCCACAGTGCTCATTGAGGTTACTAATCCTTTAGTTAAAAAGAGCCTCGGGCTGAACTAAAACAAGATCCACCTCTCCAGAGCCTCACACCCCTGCTGAAAAAAAAAAAAACCAGTTGGCTGGTCTTAGCTGGTTTTAACTGGTTTCCCAGCCTGACCAGCTAAAGAAGTGGTCAAAACCCCTCTAAAACCAGCCTGCTGACCAGCTATGACCAGCTAAAACCAGCTTAGGCTGTTTTTTTCAGCTGGGATGCGCTCCACAAACACAGACCGAAAAAACATTAGGGACAGTCCCGGACTTCCCATATGGGATAAAGGACCCCACTAATAATGAACCTGGGATCCCCTTGTGTTTATATATATATATGTTTAATTATTGCGCAGACATTGTTAGTCATTTGTCCCAGTTTTGTAGGTAATCCCACAGAAAACTGTAAACACTCTCAAGTGCGCCACACGCTGGACAAACTTACAGGAATTTTATAGTAAAAACAATAGTTGTGAAATATTACAATTTAAAATAACTGTTTTCTTTTAGTATCATTATTAACTATTGTAGTTTTTATTAATAGTTTGAATTGGTTTTCATTTTGATATTTTCTGTTTTCATTTTAATTTTAGTAAAAGCTTCGGTAATTTAGTTTTTGGCAGTTTTATTAGTTTTTTTAAGTATGTCTATAATTTTAATTAATTTTTATTGATTTATTTTTGTTAACTAAATGTTTAATTTTTGTTTTAGTTAAACTAAACAGATTTTCCCGGCAACTAGTTGAAATAAAATTTAACGTTTATTTTATTTCAAGTATGGAAAAATGATTTTTAAATGGTTTTAGTTAACTATAATAGCCCTGATTTGCTCTTATTATTATGAGTTTAAAATGTGTTGCTGCTTAATATTATTGTGGAAACTGTGATACATTTTATTTTTCAGGATTTTTTGATGAACAAAAGGTTCGAAAGAACAGCATTTATTTGAAATAGAAATATTTTGATGCATTATAAACATCTTAACTGTCTCTTTTGATACATTTAATGCATCCCTACTAAATAAATGTTTTTACGGCCCCCAAATTTGTATTTAAAACAAGAATACCAGAATATGAAACACCAGTCAACAGCTGTGAGTTAAATACAGTACAGTTGCTTTATTCATAATTTCATCTGACTAGTTGTTTATATTACAGTTTATATGAGCTACAGTCTAAACAAAAGCATTATCAATCCCATGCATCCTGCACGAAATTCAGTCAGATCCAAAGAAAAGAGAGAAAGACAAACACGCCGTGATCATCACACACTTTCACATTAGTAGGCATTCAGGTGTGAAACAGCGGAGCGAGAGGAAGCGCCCTCAGGTGGAGCGGATGAGGATCTGCGTCGATCCTTCAGTTCTCCTCCAAAGCAAAGTACAGCAGCTACAGGACGTCCCAGAACACTTTACAACATTTTTACCGCGGTAAAACAAGATGCACTGCCACAGACCCTCTAAAAACACATATCGACGCACACACAGTTAAGGAAAGCAGGAGAGAAGGAGAAGCGAAGACCCTCCGGGACGCAGTTTGTCTGTGAGGTGGGCGGGGCTAGAGGGGGCAGTGATTGACAGCTTCACTATTCAAATATCGACACACACACACACACACAGTTAAGGAAAGCAGGAGAGAAGGAGAAGCGAAGAGCCTCCGGGACGCAGTTTGTCTGTGAGGTGGGCGGGGCTAGAGGGGGCAGTGATTGACAGCTTCACTATTCAGTCAGCTTCTGCACAAAAGAATCCAGCTGGTCTTCATCTTTGACGCCCACGAACTGGTCGATGACATCACCGCCGCGCATGGCGATCACCGTGGGAACCGCCGACACCTACAGCACATCAGGAACAATCAGCATCCCATAATAAACAGAGGGATCTGCTGAGATTTGCTGTCTGGTTATTTGGCGTCCCAGAACGACGTATGAGTAACTGACGGTCAACAATCAGAAATATTTGACTGCTGAAAAGTGTTACTTTAGTATCAGAGATGCTGTTTTTATTAATAGCTTGAATTCCTGTATTTTTATATTTTCTGTGATTTTTTTAATTAAATTTTTATTTAAGTTTTAGCCATTATTGTGTGTTTGTCATTTTTATTTATGTCAATAAAACTATATGTCTATATAGTTTTTATTCATTCATTATTTTATACACTTTTAGTTGTAGTTTATTTTAATACTTCTCACACACACTCACATATTGAAATTAGTATTCATTTAGGTTTTTATTACTATAATTATATTTGAAATTTAGTTAAAATTGAGTAATTTTGTCATTGTATTATTTTTTTTAAATATGTCTATACAGTTTTGATTTTAGTTATAAAATTGAGTTTGTTATAGTATTTCATATTAAACTAAATGAAAATGAGAAATTAGCTGAAATAAGTTTTAAATTCTTTTTTATTTTTATTGTTTTATTTGTATGTTTTATTTTTTGCTGAAGCATGTCGTTCAAATGCAGTTTATAATCATATTTCATGAGATCAGCAGAAGTTATAGAAGCTAGTTAACAGAGGAAGTGAAGTATAAAGCTGAAACGTTCATGCTGAGGGTGTTTTTCGAGAGCGATGATTCAAAGGAATCAAATGAACTGGATGAGAGTTTTCCCCAACATTTACCACAAGATAAAACCCATCATAGGGCTTCAGCCTCATTAATATTCAGCTGAAAGTTGTAAAAATGACTGATGGGTATTTTTAAGATCTTGTATGTTTGTTTATGTCTAAAAAGCAATGCTGGTCTTGTATTTTTTTGTGTGTAATATTTATATAATATTATAGATTTTTAAAAATAATTTAAATTAACTTTTAATTTTATGTTTTCCATTTAATTTTCATTTTAGGTTAATTTACTGCAATTTTGATGTGTGCTTTTGTCATCTGTATTAGTTTCTGGTGTTTTTAAATATTACCATTTAGGTAAAAAGGTTTTTATTTATTTCCACTAATTTTAGAGCAAAAACAAATACAAACGACAAAAACACACAATAAAATTCAGGTCAAATTTAATCCAGTTAATTGCCAAAACAACATTTCTCAGTTTTGTTTAGTTTGAGTTTTTCTATAGTATTAACAAATCTGTTTTTAATAATTGTATTTGACAGGCCTGTGTCGTACCCCGTACTCGATGGCGAGGTCTGTGTGTTCATCGATGTCGACTTTGGCCATAACGACTCGACCCTTCTGCTTGGCGATGGCCTTCTCCAGCCGCGGGCCGAGGATCTTACAGGGACCACACCACCTGCAACACAAACACACGGCTGATTCAGTCTCACTGCAGCCGCGTCCCAAGAAAACCCACTGCAGAACTACAGAGGACTACAATCCTACAGAGGACTACAATCCCACTGCAGAACTACAGAGGACTACAATCCCACTGCAGAACTACAGAGGACTACAATCCCACTGCAGAACTACAGAGGACTACAATTCCACTGCTGTGAACTACAGAGGACTACAATTCCACTGCAGAACTACAGAGGACTACAGTTCCACTGCTGTGAACTCTGAGCCACAACAGACACAGCGCTCGATTTATAACACACAACACCTGCTGCTTTAAACAAATGTTCAATATCATGTGGTGCAACCATCCTGTGCACATGTGAATCATTCGTTTTATTTGACATTTTTCAATCTTGAGTCTTGAATAAGTATTTTTATTCGTAAATATTATGAATTATTAATTTACAAATATAAGTGTTTTCTTATGACGCACCACGTGACATTTTACAATCTGAACAAAAGGTGCCTTAGTATAAAAAACATTTGATATCTCATACAGAAATGTAAAAAAAAAAAATGCTCATCATAGTGTATATTAAGTATTTGAGTGATTTAACACTGTACAGCCTGACATATAGAAAAATAATTTGAAAACATTTTTTTTTATAATATTGTACAATTTATTGAAAATATATAAATGTCTAAAACTCTTGTTTTTTTTTGTTGTTGAGTATCATATATTTGATACTTTTATGGTTCATATAGTGTGATAAAGTGAGAATATGGAGGAAAAACAGCTCAGTTTTATTCAGAGACTCAAACTGAGCAAAAATATGAATCTGCTGCAGATGCTGATATTTATATGATCAAAAAAAGATTAAATTCTGAGGCTTGTAATGTAAATCAGTGAGATCTTTCTAACAGTATAGAGCAGATACTGACATAAAATGCTATAAATATCAGTCGTCACTCTATATCTCCATTCTCAGTAAAATGAGATTGAAATGATCAGAACATATAATGCAGTGATTGAGATGAAGAAATAAAGGCTCCTCAGAAGATGTGAGATGTTCAGGCTCCGCTGAGGAACATCAGAAGATGTGAGATGTTCTGGAGGCTTGTGAAGATCATTCCTCCGCTGAGGAACAGTGAAAGTAAAGCTTCTGGAAACAAACGCTCCTCAAAAGATCCTGAGGATCAGATTTGAGACTCTAAAACATGATTGATGGAGAATCAAGTAAAGCTGAGCTGCTTCAGTCTAGTAAGAGTTCATCTGGAGATATGACTGAAGTTATTCTGACGCTTACTTGATAAAAATCAGTCAAGATTTGACACGAGAAGCTCCAGCTGAAGCTGGACGTTTGTACAATCACACTAAAAGAGCTTTGACTGGATAAACACTCTCAATCAGAGACAGAAGGCACGCAGCAGACGGAGTTCTGATCATGTTGGTCATGTGCTTTAATGATGGCTGACTGTGATCAGCAGCAGTTTCTTGTACGTACTGCGCGTGGAAGTCGATGAGGACAGGCAGCTGGCTGTTGATGACTCTCTGGGTGAAGTCGTCGTGGTCCTGCACGCTAAACGACACGCTCCTGCAGGAGGCGTTCAGACGAGAGGAGAAGGACGAGGAGCAGGAGACGCCAGACGGCACACCTCTGACAGAAACACCACACACCCTCCCCACCAGCAGCCTGAGAGCCATCTGACCCACAGAGACAGAGCATTATTACACTAAACACCAGCATCACCACAGTAGGGCTGTAAAAAAAAATTCGAATTTCGAATATTCGTCGAATTTAAAATATAAAAATAAAAGCAGGAGGATCCAGGTGAGCTATTTTTTTGACAGAAAGATATTTTAGTGAAACAGCCTACTGATACTACATATATATATATATGTGTGTGTGTGTTTTATTACTATCACTTTTTATATTTATATAAACATTAATATCATATATAATCTAAATTACTTTGTAATTACCATACTTGAAGTTTTATTATTACTACTTTTTATATTTACACTTGTTATATTTATTTTTACTTATAAACATTCACTCTCTCTCTCTCGCTCTCTATATATATATATAATATTAAATTTATTAAAACACCATTTTCTGTTAATTCTTTCATAATGATCATACATTTATTTTGTACAAATATAATGTTTAAAGGTACAACACATTTTTGTGGCGCTACTAAACATTACACGCTACTAATTTGTTTAAATAGCAAATTACTTTATATATATAATTGTAATTCAACGTGTTTTGCACAAAAATAATACAAATAAAAAAATAAGCAAATATTATTTAAACGTCACTGAATGTAAAAATCATGTGTGTTATGAAACACAGTTTCCAGTCTGACAGACGCGGAGTCTCTATAAGATCATCCCCCGGTTAAACAGACAAGGCTTAAACCTAATCCCAGACTAAAATCTAAGTCTGGGCCGTTTCAACTGAAAGAAACTTGCTCTGAATGATTTTAAAATATATCAGTGCCTTTATTTTGTCTCAAAATGCACACCAGCATGGCCGGACTTACCATTGGGCTTGAGTGGGCTGCAGCCCATGGGCCCCGCCTTGTAGGGGGCCCCGCCTTTGCCCGTTTACGTTTGTTTGATTTGTTCGTTATATGCCAGTCAGAATTCAGAAATTATTAGCCGCATTTCCACTAAATGGGCCAGCCGGGGCTACAGATTACAACTACGACCTTCGAGGCCACAATCAAACAGCATAAACTGGTATTTATGATTATTTCACAGAAGAATTGTGTGAATCGCATCTGCACCAATTGGTTTGTTATCACATGACTACTTTAAACAGCTCCATTAAGCCTTTAGCCCCAAAGAGCGCACATTTAGAAAGATCATGATAAATTCTCAAATGTTCACACCTCATTTCTTTACAGAGGATGATTCTACATTACTATATTAATGTTCCACTAAATTATGCGATCATCTGATGAGTTTTGAGCGCTCTCTCTCGTCTTACTGCCATAATGGGGAAGAAATGTCATCAAAATGATTTTAAATAAGAAATAGCAATTTAATGATTTTCTGTTTTTATAGCTATGCCTATGATATAGGACTTAGCTAGGGTGACCAGACGTCCCGTTTTTCCCGGGACAGTCCCGTATTTCAGCTCTTTTTTTAGTGTCCCGACTTATTTTGAAAAAATCATGTTTTGTCCCGTATTTCAAAATTTCTTCTGTCATGAGAGAACAGCCTAATCAAATGTAAGTAAGCTTGTCGTAGAACCAAATTACCATCCAATCACAATTCGTTATCGATTAACTTGCAGTAAGTGAAGGCGGGTATAGGCGGAATCACGCAGACACACAGAAGCGCTATCTCGGCCGCGCGATCCCAGTTCTGCGATCAGTTCTGCCTGCGCCTTGATTGTTAAATACACACAGCTGTCAAAATTAGAGCCCGACCGATATATAGTTTTGCCGATATTATCGGCCGATATGAGCCTGTCGCCGATATATCGGTATTGGCGAATATGCCGCCGATATGAAAATTTTTTTTTACAGAACATATAATGCAGATAAAATGCTTGAAATGGTGTAATTACTTAGTTTGTCCAGCAGAGCGCGCTCCATTGTTTGCTACTGGCGACCTG